GTTCATCTGCTCAAATAGTCAATGAAGTCTGTGCTGTCACCAATTTGGGAGTCCCAAAAATTCAGAGTGCAACTCATGCAGGCACACGTGACTTCTGTTCACTTTCTCCCAAAAGTTCCTGAAGCTCTCCAACACAGAGGGAATCTTTCCTTGACCCAGATTCTGTACTGATTCCCTCCATTATAGTGGCAAAGAGTTCCTGTGAGCATACATTGCTCTCTTTCATGCCTCCCTCGATATTTATCAAGGGCCACTGAATAGATTTACATCTTCCGACAAACCTTGAATGATCTTAATGTATGGATGAAAGACACCTGGTTGTAAAAGAGTTGGTAAGATGACCTTTCATTGGATCAAATGTTTTTTTTTTGTGACCAAACAATAATCATAATGGGACAATATAGTCTCTAAATTTCAGTTAATTGGTGAGATGCTAAAGACATGGCCCATTTTTGACTATTGCTTGCAAGGCTACTCTTCAAGGATGGCCTCAATTCATGTACAGATGACTCTCAAAAATTCTGTATATCTGGGAAAGCAGGTCTAGTAGGTAGTTGTGGATGTTTTCTCAGTCCTATTTTTTGGGGGAGGGAGTGGTAATTAAAAAGGTCTGGGATTTTTCCATGCCTTTGGCAGCTTAGCCTCTTTTAAATACCTTGTACATTGGTCCCTTAGTACCCTAACAACTACAACATTTCCAGAAAGGATTATATATCTACATACATATATGTGTGGGTATATATGTATATATATACAGGCATATAAACAAACACCGGGTCCAATCTGGCTGCTTTTCCTGTCTTTGCTCCCTCCCAGAGCCTGTGCGATTAGGGGCTTAGTGTTATGGTGCCAGTATCCTTCATAGAAAAAAGTCTGTTGAAACTGTTTCCTGCAAATCTTTTCTCTTTTTCTTTTCTTTCCAGCCTTCCTTCTCAACTTCCTCCCATCAGAACGAATTGGCTTTTGTTCTTGAGTCTTTGGGGCTGACAGATGAGCACTGGCCTTATATCTTGCATGAAGCCAGGTCTGCACATAATTTCCCAGCCATATCTGAAACATAACTCTCCCTCATGTTTTAGCTCTCTATTATACAATGACTTTTTCCTTTAGAATGTAAGCTACTTGAGGACAGGGACTATCTTGCTTGCTTGTGTGTATATCCTCAGAGCGTGGACCACTGCATGGCACATAGTAAGAGCTTGATAAATGATTAGTTATCATTGCCTTCATTCTTGAATGAATATCCTTGGTATGACGGTGTTTCGCTGGATATCTTGCCAAGCTTTCTTTCCTTCCCCTTCAGGGCTACTCTCTGCTTTCTGACACGATACTGCTCATAATCATCCATTATCCTTTGTAAGATTTTACAGATTACATTCTAAGCTGGTGCTATGTTTGGCAATCATCTCTTTCCATATGGTCAATCAGATGTTTACTGACTAAGATGATTTCTGGGCTTTTTTGATCTCCTTGTAGCATTTAATTTACATTAGTTTAACTTATTTTATGCCACGAAACCAACATAAATTAAAAAAAAAAACTATTCCCAGTCCTGAGTCTGACACAGAAGATAGGCTCACTATGAATCTAAAATGGTAGAAGTTGGGCAAGTAACTTTCTTATTATGTAGATGGCGCAGTGGATAGAGTGCCAGCCCTGGAGTCAGGAAGAGCCCTGAGTTAAAATCCAGCCTTACGCTGACTAGTTGTGTGATCCTGGGCAAGTCATTTAGCCCTATATGCCTCAGTTCTTCTTTTGTAAAATGAGCTAGAGAAGGAAATGGCAAACCACTGTAATATCTTTGCCAAGAAAACCCCAAATGGGGTCATGGAGAATCAGACCTGACTGAAACAACTCAATAACAAAAATTCATCTTGGCAAAAAAAGTATTAGGTTCTTTGAATGGGTACCAAAAATCAGCAAAATTGGGGAAACATGGCCCATGCCTTTAAATGGCTCATGCCATTCAATCTTTGTGAACTTGCATTTCCTCTTCTGTAAAATGAGGATAAGCATATTTGTATTAAGTGTTAGGCATATTGTGAGGAAAATACATTGTAAATCTTAAAGCATCACCAAAATGGAAAATCTTCTGATAGCTGTGATCAGTGCCTTAACATGATTTAGTATTAGACATTAAAATGAAGTTTTCCAAATATTTTACTTTAGATAGTATGTCTTCTTTCTTTCTTCTTTCTTTCTTTCTTTCTTTCTTAGGCAATTGGGGTTAAGTGACTTGCCCAGGGTCACACAGCTAGTAAGTGTCAAGTGTCTCACCTGAGGCCAGATTTGAACTCAGGTCTTCCTGACTTCAGGGCCAGTGCTCTAACCACTGTGCCACCTACATGCCCCTTTTTGTTTTCTTTTTGGGGCTAGGCAATGGGGTTAAGTGACTTGCCCAGGGTCACATAGCTAGTAAGTGTTATGTGTCTGAGGCTGGATTTGAACTCAGGTCCTCCTGAATCCTGGGCTGTGCTCTATCCACTGCGCCACCTCCCTGCCCCAGTAGTATGTCTTTAATTTCAGTTTTAATCAGATCCAAAGGGTCAGCAATGCAACACGCAACCAAAAGAGCTAACGTGATCTTGGGTTACATTAATAAAGGCACGGTCCGGAAAAAAGAGGGGGCTGGATCCACTGACCTCTTCTCTGGTTAGATAACGCCTGGAGCTCCGCGCTCTGTTGCTGGCACTGCATTTGGGGAAGGACATATCCAGAGAAAGCATCCAGGATGCTAAGAGGACAAATGGTAAGAGGACCATACCGTATGAGGAACTGGAGATGTTCCGTCTTGGGAGGATCAAACTGGGGTTCGAGAGGAAGCAATCAGAAGTTACAGTAAAATTTTTAAGAAGTGCCACATCGAGGAGCAATTAGACACCCTGATTAATGAGAGAACAGAACTAGGTACAACAGACAAGAGCTGCTGAAAGGCACACTCAGTCCATAGGAAAAACACGCTAACGACTGGTTGCAAAAAGTAGAATGGGATATTTCAGGAAGTAGCAAGTTCCACATTATTGGAGGTCTTTACAAAAGGATGGATGACAACCTGTTGGGGATGTCACCTAAGGGATTCCTTGTTCAGGTACGCTTTAGATTAGATGTCTGCTGAAATTACTTCCAACTCTTAGATGCTGTGAATTTATTTTTGTACAATTATAAGAAAACAAATACGTAAACTCTGTGTTATTCTTTTGTTTCACAGCTATCTCTAAGTCACCATGGAAAAAGATGGCAATGACACACCTAAGCATTCTTTACTTTGGAGTCATTGGGTTCATCTGCCAGGGGACTGGGTATTTAGGTGAACAGGGCTCCCATTCTCTCATACAGTGGTCTTCAAATTTCTCTGATCATGCACCCCTATCAGAGTACTTATAACTAAAATATATGCATACAAATATGTATACATGTATCATGCGTTACTGTCCTAATATGTACATTTTAAAATATATTGATATTTTTTTCAAAAAGATGAGATAAAGATGAGATAAAGATAAAGCAAAAAAAAAATTAAAGATATTTTTGTATTTTATATTATTTGTTGAGAGGTACAAAAACTCCTGGGCTGGAAGATGGTCAAGGCATGCTTTGTTGCTGTGGGGGACTTATGGGCTGGGGAATTACTGCCGCCTGCCTATACAGCAGGTGCTTAAATTTCGGCTAATTGATTGCTGCTGCTGCAGTGGGGGTGAGGGAAGGGAGGACAGGGTGCTGACTTGCAAAGCTGGGCTCAGGACCACTAGGGTATGGCTGCCAACCCACCTGATGAGGAATGGAGCGGGCAGGTCAGACAGCACGGAGCAGAGGCAGGAGGAGGAGAGCAGCAGAGGTAGGTGGTCGCTGAAAGGAGCTAAACAGCCTGTCCTACCCTCTCCTCAGTTCTAATATTCTGTGTATTTTACTCCCTGGTTCCCCCTCTCCCTGGGGGATATACACACCCACCTTGGGAGATCACTCCTTTAAGGGCCCAAATGCCTCCAATTTTCCTTGTCTTTTACAGTTCTTGACAATTGCTTCCTGTTATGTAAACCACTGTGGCACCAGGGGAAGAATCCTTGCTATGCCAAGGTGCCACTACTGATAATTACTGAGTATGTTGCTAAAAAGATGGATATGCAACCAAGAGTCTTTTGCACAATGTGTATACCAACTTTCTATATATATCCTTATGATAGCTGAGATAAACATTATTTAACATTTATAAAGTGCTAACTTCATATTAGGAACTGATGAAATAACTCTCCCAAGTATAGCCAAGTACAATTATTTTTCCAATACACAAAATGACTTATAATACTTTAGATTAATTAATTTGCTTTTATGGGTGAGTTTTATTATTAAAGAATAGTTCACAATAACATGCCTCAAAAGATAGCTTAGCATGTCATTTTTGTACACAATCTATAGTTAACACATTGGACATTAAGGTTGCATACAAAATTTGCAAGGTCCCAACATTCATCTGAAAGACAGGATCAAACCAGACCATGAGCCCATTCTATTTAAAAGAAATTAACTATTCCTTATCTTTTTTTTTCTATATCTGTAATTATTACTATTGCTCTTAAAATACTGGTCACATTAAAACTTGCCTCATCACTAAATAGTCTTTTAAATCTGAAGAAGAGCCTGGTCATCTAGAGACCCTGTCTCTACTTTCACAGGACTCAAGATGCTTACACGAGACATCAGGAGGTAGGGGGAGATAAGAGAAGAGACATTAAGGAAAGCAATCACCTTCCTTAGCTCCTCCATAACCCTTGATATCAACAGGACATAAGTGAGGAAAGAAGGTAAGGACAGCAATGCCAATCAACGCAATTCTTCGCTTGTGCCACTGCTGCTAAGCATCTCACACAGGGGCTACAGATTGTCAGAAACTTTATTGCAGTAAAGGAGCCAGGGAAAATTTTTTTTACAAGCCCTGGCAACAACAATATTTAAGGATCACAATCTTATTAAGAAAGGTTCTTTTAAGTATCTTAATTCCATACCTCACAGCATCCAGTCTCTTATTCTGTCGAATGAGTTCAATGAACTCCTGAATCCTGAGGCTGAACTCCAGACAGCTCTGAGATTAAAGATAAGACAAGAGCTTACATACTGCATATCATGTGCTTTGATGACAGCCAAACCCCAAATCCACATAAAAGAACACATATATACATCTCCCACAGACATTCACACACTGTCAGCTAAATCTTCTGTGTATTTGCAGGAAAGGAAGGCCACTTGTTACCTGAGAATATGAGCCCTTAGAATTCTGGCAAGAAGTTCAAGCAAAAATGTCTACTTACTTGTCCTATAAGTAAGGAATATAGCCTAATGCGGATCAACTAATTGGAGAAATGAATGGCTCTATCCTTACAGCAGTAAGAAAGCAGGGTAGGGGTAGGGTGTAGGGAGTGGGTAGGGACAGCTCTGGGCTATAGACGTTCCATTTGTGTAGAAAGGCAATTTATTAATGAGGCTATTAAAGCAGAGGAGCAGGATTTCTTGATGTCTTGGAACAAGAATTGGAGGGAGTAGTTCATGCTCTGGCTGCTCAGCTATGCTTAGCATGTTCACATGGTCATGTTATCATTAATATGACTAGGAAGTCAAAATAGTGTTTGAATCTGGAGATTTGGATTATTTAACAAAGAATTTTTTTTCTCAACTCCAGGAAATGAAAAATAGCAGGAAAATTCTCTTCTAACTCCTACTAAAAATAATAAGGCTTTAATAGATACCCACCCAAATCTCCATAAGAAACTCCCAAACCTTTTCAGCTTTTAAAGGATTCTCTTTGAGGCTTAATGATATAAACAGGTGTTTCTTTAAAGAAATCCATCATTAGGTCACAAAATGTATGAAATATAACCTGCTGAAAACAAATACCCACAGCAGCAATTTTAGATTATAACCCATTATTTTAAAAAGTCTTGAGAAAATGAAAGTAATCTTTGAAGGCCTTCACCTCTCATTTAAACATTTTTCTTCTTTCACTTCTTTATCTGCATGCTACTTTTGAAGTACCACAGATGACATCAATAGAAATTTCCAAGAACTCGTGCATTTAAAAAAAGTAATTAAAAACAAGTAAAAACCCTTAACTGTTTGGTTTTAGTAAATCAAGTGACTTAAGTATCACAAAGAAAGAATCAAGGCTTATGGACTTGGAAAATAATACACTGATAGGTCACATTCAATCAAGTCAGGGTAATCTGCCCTTCAATTAATTAAACTTTTGGAGTTCAAATGTGTTCAAATCACAATACAAGAACGTAAAACAGAATTTTTTTCTCAAACCATGCTATTTCTCTAAAGGACTGGGATACTTAAATTCAAGATTCATTAAAAAGTGAGACATCATCCAAAAATTAAAAACAAAGTCTGAACTTGCAGGTGAATATCTTAAAATATTTATCAATAGCCTACTATCAATAAGCATACCAATCTTACTCTTTTGAAAAACAGGATATAAATTCCATATTGCATCTTCAAAAGCCATTGTAAATTGAAAATTTGCTTCTAAATATGACCAGAATTAAGACAGATTCCCTTCGATGCCTTATCATGTCCCTAATATGTTACCATTAGAATTTTTAGTGTTTGAGGAGGGGAGAGGGAAAGGAGTTGGCCATAACAAAATAAAGGCAAATCCTTTATTCTACATGCTCAAGTTAAAGAAAGTTGATGCTTCAGTATTATTTATAAGCTAAATGAATAAAGTTTGCATAAGATCAGGTATTTATTTATTGAATGATCTAGTATAGGGGTCTCCAACAGCTTTACTTGAAGCCTCTGGCCCCATACCTGGGACCTTGACAGTGATCTGATCAGTAACTTCTCTATTGGCCCCTATTTGGCCACTAGTCCACTCTTAAGGCTTCAAACCACAAATAGGCTGGGGGCTGGGGAAGAGAGGATCATGAGTGAATGTGAAACATTCTACATTTGAAGTGTGTGTTGCTGGCCCAGCTACTATAGGCTATGTCAAGCCTGACTACATCTGTGTCGTAATGCTTTTGCACACTGTGACGTACAGAATGGCTTACTTTTCTTCAGTGTAATGATTTTAGAATTTCAAGACACTCATGGCACTCTATGTCACTCTATGTAGAGTTGGGGTGCTCAGATCAACCGGCCCATTTGATTGCTTTTCCACTTTGGCTTTGTGTGCCTATTTCTTGACCTTCTCTGGATCCTATTAGCTTCAACTTTATTTCTAGGGTAAAAAAAGCAGTAAAAACACATATCCATTTTCAAAATACAGAAGCCATCAGTATTATTTGTATAGATGGATTTTACCTCTGAATTTTCCCAAGGTGAGTGCTACCAGTCAGCAGCATTTATAGAGTGCCCACTGTGTACTGAGTACTGGACCCCATTCATGGCCTTCAAAAGGAATAATGGAGAAAGCCAAAGGGCCCTCCCTCTTAGGAAAAGGAAAAAATTATGGTCTCTGCTCTATGTCTTTGGGGATCCAAGAAGCCCTGCTACACTTGGTATGTCTCTTTGCTGATACAAACCGCCCCCCTATCCCCAGACATGAAATGATTCCAAGAACAGAATTCTTCTTGTGAGTGATGATTACAAGAGACAATCTTTTCAGTAAAACACAAGCTCACTCCCTCTTCCACCCCAAACCCAGGATAACAGAAGGTGCTGAAAGGTGAGACATTTATTTAAACAAAGGTACAGTAACATTGCCCAATGAGCTCAGTTACTCTAATAGGAAGAAGCCTCCATATCTGATTTATGCTCTGGCAAAGCAAGGGTCATTTTCATGTTTGGGAAATGGGAGGTATCTTATATGTTAGCAGTAGTCTATATATTGAGTAGGACTGGGTAGAACTCTGCCTGCCTCCTATAAGCACCACGTTCTTTGCTCTGTATTACCTTCTATTCTCTCTGGATGTCTCTAGTTACACATACCTAGATTTCCTCAGTTAAGTATGGTGCTATAGCTAATACCTAAAGCCAAAACTGGCACAGGATTGAGCATTATAAAAAAATGAGAAAGGACAAAAGTTGAGGTTTAATAAGACTCATATTTTAAACAATGAACAGGAAATTACCTTAACTGTAGCTATGATTTTTCTCAAAATTTATATGTCAGTATTTAAATAATTATTGCCTATTTAAATTATAACAACTTACCTAATCCTTAAATGAACTAACTTCCACATATGCCCAAAATGCATATACAATCCTGGGTGTAGAGGGGTCATCATCTATGGCCACATAAATGGACATTCTAACCTTCTAGTTCTAAAATTCTATGACTATAACATCATGAATAAGTTTTGCACAAAGCATTTCTTGACCTATGATCTCATCTGACTCTTCATGAAGTATGAAATCTAACCTTTCCTTCTGTGTTTTTCTGGAATTCATGTTCAGTTCCAGAAATCACTGGATTAAAGATTTGGGCACTCTAGTCCAACCCTCCCTTTTTACAGATGAGGAAACTGAGGCTCAGGGAGGGGGAGTGCCCTGCCCAAAGTCACCCTGTTGTAATCTCCAGAGACAGGATTTGAATGCAAATCCTTTGATTGAAGAACCAGGGTCTACCCATTTTGTCATGCTGTTTTTAAGTATCTTAAAATTATTTTTAAAGTGCAGTTTAGGGCTTTATTACTTTTCCTTTCACATTAAAAAATTTTGTAAATTAAAAATAATTATGTTTTAGAAGAGGTACAAAATTGCAAACCAAAAATTCAGCTTTAACTTGATTTCCATGTTGGCTTACAATTTCCCTGCAGTTTCAAGTACAAATATCTACGTTGGGCATTCATGGAGCTCCTTGGGGATTGAAATGCTCAGTTTGAATGCAAAGGGCATAGGTAAATTCTCACAAGCTAACCTGAAATTTGCCCAAAGCAGTCAAGTAAGATTCCTCTTCTCCCAACTCTGCTCTTTCAGAGCTTTACCTAATAGATAATTAGGGCTTGCAGAAATAACTTATTTGGGGGAGGGACATTTTCTTTTCTGTTCCAGGTTTTCATATTATAAATTGGTGATGGGAAATGAAAGCCTTGAAAAGCCAGGTTCTTCAGGTATCTGCCATTTCTTATTGTTCGCATAAATACTAACATGACACAAGGGTTTCTTTTTTCTTTTCTTTAAACTGTAGAAGGATGCGACAGTATTTACATACCAATTCTGGTTTTCCTTTTAGGGTTTCCATAACAAGATCATCATTCTCTCTAGGGGAATCACTGGCCGATTTACTTTTGCGTCCCGTCTTCGTTTCGCTCTCGTTTTGACGGCCCTGAGTGACAGAGAATGTCACTCTTTCCTTGTCATAAGTGCACTCAGACAATGCTCAGACAATATTGGGGGGAGGAGGGGAGGTTAAAGAAGCGCTTAGTTTAAAAAACAAAGAACAAAACCTTTCCAAGGAAGGCAGGGATTTCGGTTAATGTCAGTTAAAAACAGATTTCTGCAAGCCCTAGAATGACAACGTATTTTAAAAAGCAAGTTTAAATATTAGAGTTTAATTGTAAATGACAAGTGTATCACGGTTCTTTATCTTCAGCTATTGGTCTGGAGAAAGCATAATTTCACTACTACCAGGCTATAGAATTGGTATTCTTGCTTGACAATTATATTTTAAGTCCATTTTCTAATATTTAAGACTACTCAAAAGCCACAGAAAGATGCTATGTATAACTTGAGTGCTCAGAATACCATTTTTCCGTATGTGTTTTGAAAGTCTGCCTTATTTACACACCATACAGCACGTTTGCAACATAATAAAAAACACTCTATACAACGCCTCATGCTCCTAGAAGAAACAGTGCTCTTGAGATTTAGTCAAGCTTTGGTAAAGGGAGGGATAAAGTTTTCATGTCATTTGATTATCTGCCAAAAAAAGAAAACAATACATAAATATTGTAACCCTCCTCTAAGTTCACAACATATAGGAGCTAAGGGTATCATTTAAGCCAACAGAAGATCTGTAAGAGATCACCATACCTTCATCTTCCTGAGTCTTGATTTGTTATCATGACACCAAGCCAAACAAGTCATGGTCTCCTGTCTTTCCAAAGATTCTTCCACTTCTTTGGCTGTCAAGAACATCTCAATGTTCACCAAGTCCTTAACAGAAAGAAAGAAAAGATTTTCATTAAAATAGTAAGAGAAAAAACAAAAACCACAACACACCCAGAAGGAAGAAGAAAACCAAGATGAAGTTGAGAACATTAAATGGAGTCCATTAATTTACAGTTAGATCTCCTAATAAACAGTCTTCCCTAGGTAGTAACAAACATTTTTCTTTTACAATGAACTGAATAGTTTGATGCGGAAAATTATTTTTAGAGTCATGAATCTGTTACATTAATGTTTTAAATACATTTAAGATCGTGTATTGCCTTCTGTTTAAAAAAACAGGTAGCAGAGCCAAGATGGTGCAGTGAAAGCAATGACTTGCTTGAGCTCTCCCCCAAACCCCTCCAAATACCTATAAAAAACGGCTCTAAACAAATTCTAAAGCAGCAGAACCCACAAAAAGACAGAGTGAAGCAAATTTCCAGCCCAAGACAATCTGGATAATTGATCGGAGAGGTGTATCGCGCCAGGCAGGGAGAGGAGTGCAGTGTGGCATGGGGGCACAGGCTGCAGTGAACCTGGAGCAGGCCTCAGGGGACTGAATCGAGGGCAGCTGTGGTGGTTTCCAGACTTCTCAACCCATGAATGCCAAAGACAACTTGGAAGGTCAGTGGGAAAAGTCTGTTTCTGCAGCGAGAGAAGAGCTAGGTCTCAGAGCCAGTTCCAGAGCGCAGAAAATGGGCGCCTGGGTGGTGGCTGTGTCCTGAGCTTCCAGCCCACAGACTGACAGGGAATTGAGTGACTGATCAGAGGGGGATTGCAGGGATCTCTCTGCCAGTGCTGAGTCAGGAATCTCTTGCCCATGCTTGGATCTGGGTCACAGTTCTGGGCGGTGGTCGTGGGGCAAGGAAGAGCGCTGGTGTGGTGAAGCTTGCAGTGGCTGTGGAGAGAAAACTTCCTCACAGTTCCAGGACAGAAAGGAGTGCTTGTGGTCACTAATAGACCAGAGCACAGTCCAGGAAAGGAGTAAACACCTCGCCCCTTATCATACCACCTTGCAAGAACTGAAATTTACAGGTTTCTACAAGTATCTCTGAAAACAGCTGTATAAACCCCCAAAGCTTGGGACAGTACATTCTCCACATTGGAAGCAGACTCTTGGCTTATTTATTTTAATTTTTTTTCTGATTAGGCAATGGGGTTAAGTGACTTGCCCAGGGAAACACAGCTAGTAAGTGTTATGTGTCTAAAGCCACATTTGAACTCAGATCCTCCTGAATCCACAGCCAGTGCTCTATCCACTGCACCACCTAGTTGCCCCAAGACTCTTATCTGAACAAAGAGTTTAAAACTCAAGTAACTGGCTGGGATCATGAGCAACCAGCGCAAAAAGAGTCAGACTATATTATCTTACTTTGGTGACAAAGAAGATTAAAACATACAACCAGAAGAAGACAACAAAGTCAAGGCTCCTACATCCAAAGCCTCCAAGAAGAATATGAACCAGTTCCAGGCCTTCAAAGGGCTCAAAAGGGATTCTGAGAAGCAAGTAAGAGAAGTAGATGAAAAACTGGGAAGAGAAATGAGAGTGATGCAAGAAAATCATGAAAAACAAGTCAACAGCTTGCTAAAGGAGACCCAAAAAAATACTGAAAAAAATGACACCTTAAAAAATAGCCTAACCCAAGTGGCAAAAGAGGTCCAAAAAGCCAATGAGGAGAAGAATGCCCTAAAAAGAAAACACTGACCAAATGAAAAAGGAAGTCCAAAAGATTACTGAAGAAAATACTTCCTTAAAAATTAGAATAGAGCAATTGGAAGCTAGTGAGTTTATGAGAAATCAAGACACTGTAAAACAAATCCAACAGAATGAAAAAATAGAAGACAATGTGAAATATCTCACTGGAAAAACAACTGACCTGGAAAATAGATCCAGGAGAGAGAATCTGAAAATTATTGGACTATCTGAAAGCCATGATCAAAAAAAGAGCCTAGACATCACCTTTCAAGGAAAACTGCTCTGATATTCTAGAACCAGAGGGCAAAATAGAAATCGAAAGAATCCACAGATCTCCTCCTGAAAGAGATTCCCAAAAGAAAACTCCTAGGAATATAGTAGCCAAATTCCAGAATTCCCAGGTCAAGGAGAAAATATTACAAGCTGCCAGAAAGAAACAATTCAAGTATTGTGGAAACACAATCAGGATAACACAAGATTTAGCAGCTTCTACATTAAAGGACTGCAGGGCATGGAATATAATATTCTGGAGGGCAAAGGAGATAGGATTACAACCAAGAATCACCTACATGGCAAAACCGAGTATAATCTTTCAGGGGGAAAAATGGTCATTCAGTGAAATAGAGGGCTTTCAAGCATTCTTGATGAAAAGACCAGAGCTCAATAGAAAATTTGACTTTCAAATACAAGACTCAAGTGGAATGTGAAGAGGTAAACAGGAAAGAGAAATCATAAGAGACTTATTAAGGTTGAACTGTTTACATTCCTGCGTGGAAAGATGACATTTATAACTCATGAGACTTTTGTCAATATTAGGGTAGTTGGAGGGGGAAAAAATTTTAAATATATATATATATCTATATATGTATATATAGATATATATATATAGATATAGATATACACACACACATATATATATACATTCATAGGTAGATAGATAGATAGAGGGCACAGGGTAAATTGAAGATTAAGGGGCCATATCTGGTGAATAAAATTAAGGGATGAGAGAGGATTATACTAGAGGTAGAATGGGGTAAATTATCTCACAAAAACACGGAAAAGAAAAGGCTCTTACAGTGGAGGGGAAATAGGGGAAAATGAGAGGGAATGAGCAAATCTTATTCTCATAGGATTTGGCTTAAGGAGGGAATAACATACACATTCAATTGGGTATGGAAATCTGTCTTACCCTACAGGAAAATAGGGGAGAAGGGGACAAGAGAGTAGGGGGATAATAGAGAGGAGGGCAGATGGGGAAAGGGGGTAATCAGAAGCAAATACTTCTGAAGAGGGACAGGGTCAAAAGAAAGAATAGAATAAATGGGAGGTGCAGGATAGGATTAAGGGAAATAGAGTTAGTTTGTCACAACATGTCTACTATGGAAGTGTTTTGCCTAACTGCACATGTATAACTTAAATTGAGTTGCTTGCCTGTTCAATGAGGGTGGGTGGGGAGGGAGGGAGAAAATTTGGAACCCAAAGTTTTAAAAACACATGCTTTAAAAAAAATGTTTTCACATGCAACTGGGAAATATGAAACGCTGTCCTAGAGGAAAACAGAAGGGGAAGGGGATGAGAGGTGGGGGAGAGATAGAAGAGAGGGCAGACTAGGGGAAGGGGTATTCAGAATGCATACTATCTTGGGGTGGGGGAGGAGCAAGATGGGGTGAAAATTTGGAACTCAAAATCTTATGGAAGTAAATGTTGAAAACTAAAAATAAATAAATTTATATTAAAAAAATTAAAAACAAAAAACAAAAACAAAAAACCAGGTAGCAGTTAAGTATATTCATGCTTGACAATGAATCATTTTTTCCCCACTTCATTGTTTCACAATATTCAGGGGTGGGAGGGGCCTTACATATCACTTCCTTCAATGCCCTCACTTTCCTCACATTTACCCTGTGAAATGAATAGTGCAAGTATGAACTTTGATAGAAGAGCGCAATTAGGGTTGAAGTGACCAATCCATGACACAGAGCAAACTTCTGAGAAGCTGTTTAATTCAGAGTCTTTGGCCTCAGTACTCAGCACGCTCTTCAATTCACCATTTATTTCCTCTAGATTCGGCAGCTCTTAACTCCCTGTCCAATGCTTTGCTGTATTAATTTAACCTCTAATTATGAAATTTTGCCATGGCCTGAACAATCCTCTCTCTTAGTAGGAGGTTGGATAATTGATGACTTCTGTTTCTGAATAAATAATAAAAATTTAAGGAATATTGATTCAGTACCTACCACATACCATCTTTGGCACTGTAACTACAAAGATAATAAATGGGAACTCTTAGCTCAAAGAATTATATTCATGAATTTCTCATTTTGATGAGTCAGTAGATGCTCAATAAATGCTTTTTAATAGCCTAGAATGCAAATATTTTCTTTGGGAATAATGACACATATAACAAATCCAATAAATTAGTCTTTTAAAAGAATTCTCCTTAACAACCTAGATTCTGTGATTACTAAAGAAACAATTTTAAGTGCACATAGAATATTATTCCATTATCTTTGTTGTTTTCCAAAAAGGAACACATAGAAATGGTGCCTTTCAAGAATTTCAGTCTTTGGGCACTGAAATGAGTTTCCACTGGATCCTTCTTGCCCAAAGGGCAAATAAGGCCAGTAAATGTAAGCCTTGTTTACATGAGAGAGTTTCATGTGGAAAAGAGCATGGATATTTCTTAAAATGGAGAATCAAGACCTTCTGGGAGGCAGCAGCCACAGTCTTCCTAACATGGTGTTGGACTGCAGAAAGAATACAGGATTTCTTACCAGAGGACAGGAATTCAAATCCTAGCTCATTTGCTACTTGTCTGATCAAGGCACTTACAAATGTCTCTGGGCTTCAATTTCCTCACTTGCAAAATGAGGGTTAGGCTAAATAATACTAACTCTAATTAAGTCTAGAGTTAGACTAGCTCTAAATCTGAAGCTCCTATGATCCCAGGTATTACCTGACCCCCTCCCCCCAGTCTCCACTCTGCCAGTACTTCTCAATCATCATTTCTCCTTCTCTCTACCTAGTTCCAATTTAGAGGTTAAAAATGCTGTTGAAGACCAATTCAATCTATGAAAAGAGTGAAATAGGTAAATAAAGTTATAGAAAACCTTATTTGAAGAGGTGGGGCATAGAGGGAGTAGAACTTGGAGGGAATAGGGAAGGATCTGGTTATAGAATAAAAAGACTGAGAACATAATTTTTGGCTGAGACTTTTGCTCTGCATTCTTGTCATTATTAAAATATAGTTTCCTTTGACTTGAATGTCACAGTTTAAAATCTTGCCAGACATTTGTAATACTTCACATTG